TCCCAGCCCTGACATTCCCTGTTCTGAGGCCCCTCCCAGATCTGCCAGTTTATGTTCTAGGTTCTCAGAGACTACTCCTAGCTCTGGCATTCTGGGTCTGTGAATTGCAGATATTTAACTTAGAGAGGCTCTGTCACCACCCCCCACACCATTATCATATCTGCAAAGCTCAGAAGGGCCATCCTGGATTATGCCTGATCCCAGACGGAAGACTATTGGGCTAAAGTGGAAATTATCAAGAGCCGGGTTCCAGCTCAAGGGAAGGACGGACTTTCTGAGTCTGGCAGCTATGCCCCGGGGAGGGAGTTAGCTCCCCGTTCCTGGAGGTGACCAGGTGGCAGCTGGTGCCCCTCCTAGGGAACTACCTGCTTCGGGCGGGTTGGAGGGGTGCGGGGGGAGATGGCCCTGGATGATGCCCGAGGCACCTTCTGCTCCAGGCTGTGACTAGACCGGCCCAGGTTCTATCAGGCACAGTTCTGGGAGATTAGCATAGCCAGATGTGCTCGAGGCAGCGAAGGAGAAAGCTCGGGGTGCAAGAGGAGCTGACCCGGAGGCATCCCACGGGCCGCGGAAGGGAAGGGGTGCGCTGGAGCGCCCACGTCCCCTCCCGGCCCGTGCTGGCTGCTTCCGGCGCTTGGCTCGCCCCGTCCAGGCTGTAGGTGTGCCTCGCCTTACCTGGGCGGTGAGCTGGATGGGCTGGGACAGGGTGAGCTGGGGGGTCGCCGGGGGCTGGCTTGCGGGTGGCTGCGGCGGCAGGTCGCCCCCCCCCAGCGGGGGCAGGGGGCTGCCCGGAGGCGGCGGCGGCTGCATTAGCGGCGGCAGCGGCGTTGGACTGCTGGACCGCGGCGGCCAGGAGCTGGGCCTGAGCCTGCTGCAGGAGGAGCTGCTGCTGGGTGGGCATCAGGGCCGTCAGCTGGGGTGAGGGGTGGCGGCCAGGCGGGGTCAAGGAGTGAGATGATGGGGGTCAGGGGAGGAGACAAGGTGAGGAGGAGGCGGAGGGGGGGACCAAGGTGTGAGATGATGGGGGTCACCAGACGAGACGGGGTTAGGAAAGAGTGATATGGGGGTGAGGGAGAGACGAGCAGCGGGTTAGTGACAGAGCTGGGGACCAGGCAGCCAAGCCGAAAAGAGCCGGGTGGGGTTAGCATCAGAGAAAAGAAACAAACTCAGGTGGGCTGGGGACCAGTGCCCGCGGCTGTACCTGGGAGCCAAGTCTCCCTGGAGCTGTTTCCTGCGCCTGGGGGCAGTGGGAGAAAGAGAAGGGGCCACCCAGGTGGTTCTGGACTGTGGCTGCTCAGAGCAGAGCAAAAGCAGCTTCAGCTGAGGTCGGGGTGAGGGCTTGGCAAGGTGGGACAAGAGGGCTCCCTCTGGTCCTGTTAGGGCAGGACTCAACAGGGCTTCATCCGCAGGGCCCCCTTGGGAAGAAACAGAGGGTCTAGGGCCTTTCCCTACAACATATGTGGAATAGCTTTGGCTCAGTTTCCCCTCATCCGGTGCTGTGGAGAGCTGGGCCCCTTAGCCCAAAGGTCCCCCGGGAGCCCATCCTGGGTCACTTACCCCAGCCAGCTGCCCGCCAGCCAACATGAGCTGGGCCTGGGGTAGGTGGGGCTGGGATGGGGGCGGGGGTGGGGGGGCCACTGGGGCCGGGTCACTGCTGGAGTCTTCAGCCTTGATCTGCATGGGGAGAGAGGCAAGTTTGGGGTCCTGAAAAGGGAACCAATCATGGTGAAGAAACCTAGACGCCCTCTTCTTCTCCCCTTTGTAACAAAAATGCAGCGATTTTAGACCCGGCTCAGAGAAATCAGGTGGTTTCCATAGGACCACACAGCAGGAGCAGCAGCTAGGACAGCCCCCTGGCCAGCTCTGCAGGTGGCCACTGGCCTGGCTCTGCCTCCTCCTCCATGGCCCTCAGCTTCCAGCCTTCACGGTGCAACCCCAGCCTCTCCACTGAAACTTATCTCGAGATTTCCTTATTACAAGCCTCTTTTCTCCCCCCTCCTCCCACGGTTGCCTTTCCTCTCCAGCCCCGTCCTCTCGCCCTTTCGAGGTCCATCAGACAGAGCATCATCTCTGAGTAAGAAGTCCTGGGTTCAAATCTGCCTCTAGTGTGTACTGAGTTACTTAATCTCCCATATCCTCATCTGCAAAATGAGTCAGTGGGACAATTGTGATGGCCCTTTTCTGAGGGCCTTTTCAGCTCTAAATGGCAGATCCCCTAACTCTCAATCTGTCTTCCATTCTCCCCATCCCTCCCTGTCTCCTCCATCTCCTCTCCTATCCCTATCACCTCTTCCTGGCCTTCTCCTTCCTTTCTCTTCTCCCTTTCACGGGATTCTAGATCCATCACTGGACAGATGAGGAAACTCAGAACCGGGCCCGGGCAGTGATTCACCCCGGCTCACACCGATAGTAGGGGGTCCAGAGACTCTGGAGCTGCTGTTCTTTGCCCCTCTCCTCTACTCATGTTTTCCTTTTCTCTAGTCCTTCTTTTTCTTCCTTTCTCTTCCACATCTCTCCCCATCTCCACAATCCAATTTGGAAAGAAAAAAAAACCCAAACCCTAGGCGTGGGGACACACACAAAAAAAAAAATACCCCTCTCTCCTCTCAGGGACTTTCAGTGTGCAGGCCCAAGCCAGGCCCTTAGCCAGACAAGAATGTTCCCAGAAGTTTCATGCACCCATCTCTCCATCTCCTCTCTGTTCTCTCTCCATCGCCTCTCATATCTACTTGGTTCGTCAATTCTCTGCTTCCCTACTCTCTCCTCTCCTCCTCAGGCCCTTTCCACTCTCCCTACAGTCCTCCCCTAGCCTCTCCTTTGAGTGTGTTGGGGTGAAGGGAGGTCTGGAGGTGCTGAGAGTCGGGGCGAAGCCAGGGCCAGGCAGGGAAGTAGGGATGGGGGCTGGGCCCTCAGTTTCCTGTTGTTTATGCCCTGGGGCCCCAGGGGGGATTTCCCCAGTCAACCCCCCCCCCCAACCCCAGGGGAAGGGGAAGGAGATGGGATGAGTCATAGGTTTGGGGCAGGCGGGTGGGAAGGAAAAACTGCTTTGCTGATGCTCCAAAGCTGAGTGGCTCCCTCTGGGGGTTTCAGGACAAGCTGACCTCTAGCCCAGGCCTCCCTTGCTCCCTCCAGACCCCACCTCCCCCAGGTACTTTTCCATACCATTCTCCAGATATTGCAAGTTCCCCTCTCACCTTGGTGCTGGGACCCGTTGGGGACAAGGAAAATGAAGAGGCCTTATTTTGGGGGTTCTGAAAGGAGAGAGAAGGGAGGAAGGGGGGGTAAGTCTAGGATCTAGCTCCTCTGCAGGCCTGCTCCCTCCCAGCTAGCTCCCCTTCCTTACCTGATGGTTTGCATCTGGTCCATTGGTTTCTGTATCTGCAAGGAGAAGGAAGGAAGAGCTAGGACCCTCCCTGCCCTACTCCCACCTGGGGCTCCCCCTCCTTCCCTTGTTGTCCCAACAAACCCTTCCTACCTGTGTGCTCTGACTGAGAGTCCAAACCTGGCTTCTCCGGCTCCAGGGGCTTAGACATTCTTATTTCTGCGGAGAGAAAAGGGAAAGGGAGGCGTTGTCACATACCATGAGGAGGTGCCCACTACTACCACCCCACCTCTTGAGGACCAGGTCCATTTCAATACCCTGCCATCCTACCCTGTATGGAAACCGGGGCGCCCAGCTCTTCCTCAATGATAGAACGCTGTCAGAGCTGGGAGGGGACTTTGCAGTCATTTAGTCCAACACCTCTAGAGATGGGGAAACTGAGGGGCAGGGAGAAGACGAAATGTCACAAAGGCATCTCAGTGGCCTAAGAGGGGCCAGGACCCTGCTCGAATGACTTCTCTTCTGGGTTCCTGGCCTCTCAGCAGGAGAAGCTGGTTCTGTCTAGCCTTCCAGCCAGAGATGGGAAGGCCAGGTGCAGGGAATGGCTTGGCTATGGCCTCTCTGATGGAGAGGCATCCGAAGGGAAGCTGAGCAGAGAAGGCAGTGGTCCTCCCCTGGGGCCTTGAGGGCCTCCGCACTCAGTCCCACCGGCAGGTTTCGGGTGAGACATGTTTTCCGCTGTGAGCAGCAAGGAGCGGGCGGTGGGATGGGGCTCTGGGGATTGGGGTGTATCAACAACGCCATGCCTGTGATTCACCGGCCCTCAAAATGTTTGACAGCTTTGCCCTCAAGCTCTCACAGCCTCAGCCCTTCCCTGCAGCAGGCAGGGAGCCCCCCCCAAGCCTCAGGCCAAAGGGCAAGCTCCTCCTGGCCTTGACCTTGCTCAGCCAACTCACCCTGAGCCTAACTTTGGTGCAAGTCTAACCCCAAATGCAAAAACAGGCCTTGGCCTCCGGCTAGAACAAAAATAATGGAACATAGAACATCTGAGTTGGAAGGACCCTTAGAACAGGGAAGGTCAGAGCTGGGAGGGGCCTTAGAACAGGG